ATAATCGCCAGTACCCCCTTGGTCCACACACCGATAAAAGGACGAACAGTCCTGTGGATTAGTGAAAAAACCTTCATCCGAACACGGAAGAGAAGACGAAGATGATGGTGATTGACCTACAGGGATAAAATTGATTACAAAATACGAGATGAAACAAAACAATTCAATCCAATTATGAAAATAAAATATAATCAATACCATCGGAATACAATCGAAACATAAAAATTAATGAGAACAATTAAATTAAAAGGGTTACCTGAGGTAGTTGACAGGGTGAAAATGATCAAATAAACGACGGTAAGAATTGATTGTCTCTGTGGAAACATTGTCTCTGTAATAGGAGCGAGAAAAAAGTGATATGAAAGAAATTAAATTAGAAATAAGGATAATCATCAACAGATCATAAACCAATCAAAAAATAAAACAATAATCATCTCCGATGAAATCAGCGTATCACCTATGCAATGATAACCATGTAACTTACTCGCTAATTTGGTAAAAATAAAACTATTTCCGAGTGACAAAAAACCTCAACGATTTCTGATCGATACTGAATCAAGAAAACGATCAAGTTGAACAATAATATTAGATGAAAGTGACAACATCTCCTCCTCTTATCTCGCCCACAATTAACAAATTATCTTCCATTCTACCACCCTGCTCATCATCATCATGGCAAGTCCAACCTCCGAAAGACGAAACAACGCACAAATGGCCGTTACAACGATGAGAAAAGTTTAATTCGTTAGTTAAATAAATACCCTTGACCATGAAAATGAATGATAATGATGATTAACGCAAGGAGAATCAACTATTATTATTATATGAACAATTATAATCATCATTATTAGTATGATTATCACTAATTCTTTAATTTAAATAGTTGATCATTTGATTAACAACTGAGTTAATTGTTGTTACGGGTTATGCACTCGTTGATTCCCTGGGTCATGCTAATCACTTTTCCCTATTAGTTTGATCATCACTGGTTATCTATTTATTAAATTGATTGTTGATTCTAATCAATCAACTAACTGTTACTACTGATCAAATAATAATAAAATTATCCATGAGAAATTGATTAAGAGGATTAAATTATCCTAAATATTGGCGATCGATTGTTTCATGTTGATTTACTAATCTGTAATCTAAGGATTAAGATTAGTAATTAATTGACACTAGTTAATATAATAATAAGCAGATTAAAATAAATACCTGCTTTGAGAGATTAATTTATTAATAGTTGATTAGTCAAGCAATTAATAGTAATGTCCATACGACTAATTGCTACCAAAAAGACAATTATCAAAAAGTAACAATTACCGGAATGATTGTGGGGATGAGTTAATCAAATCTCGTCAATTGTGATTAAATTAAAACTTGTTTATCATTGATCTGTTATTCAGATAAAACCAATTAGTCTTGAAATTAACTAATCATAATCAGCCTGTTATTATAAATTTAATTATTACGTTGATCAGGATTTCCCAAATCATTCAACATAAACAACAAGTAAATATAAACTAACATTCAGTTTAATTGTTTAAAATCCCCGTAGCTTTGATTAAAGCCTTGCCCATAACTCACGACCAATGCCTAAAGGATAATTTAATTGTTATCACTCATAATCTCAACTGAATCAAATAAACTTAATCTAAAATCTAAATGTTTATTTGTAAATACAAGATAATTGTTCAACTCATTAAATATCTTAAATTCAACTGAATTTAACTAATTGCTGTCAACACACACAATCAATTACAACCAAATTTAATGTGACTTATGACGTTTTGTATCATTTGTGTCATGATTAAACAACAACAACACAATGGACAAGGTTATGTATCATTCAATTAAATTCAATAAGTATTGTAATTATTATTAATCATTAAATTGTAATTTATACTAAAATATAATATGATTTGTCAATAGCAATCAAAATGTCCTAAAGGTTGAAGATGCTGCTTTCATCAATTAATTATCAATGTGACGACATTGACAAACTATCATAATAAAAATAAAACTTTTTGTTTTCTCGTTGTTATCAACAATCATAATGATTACAATCAATAATGATATCATCAATAATTAACAGCAATTACTGAATGATTAACAAACAATATGTGTACATAGAGTACCCAGAAATTAGGAAACACTTGAAGTAACAATTAATCAGCTAGTGAATTATGATTAAACTCCATTAAGTGTTATGGTTAATCCGGAATTGCAACTACTGTAATGATGAAAAGTTTTTTGAATTATTTTAATAGTTTGAGAAAAGTTTTCACCGAAGTTGAAAACTTTTTGATTTTTCTCATTCTTATTATAATTAAGAATATAAGGAAACAACAGTGATGAGTGAGTACAATTTAAATTTCGAGTGAGAAAAGCCTTAACTAACTAGTTAATTGAAAGTTTTCGAGAAGGTCGAGGTTAATCACGTTGTTTGTTTTAATTTCTGTTATTGTTTTCTCGCAATCATTTCGGTGAATCTGTTGACGGACACACGATTAACTAAATCCAAACTTAAATCATGATGATAATTAGAGGAGAATCAGTGAAATGTGAAACAATATAAGAGCAATAATTAAATCAAGACGATTATATTAATTCATGTGCTTATTATGAAAAATGGATGAAGAAGAAACTTTTTTTACTTACCCAACTAATTTCGTTGATATTTATTAAAGTCTATTCATGAAATAACGTTGAATTGATTCAGTTGATTATCACTTAGTTCACCAATGGTTAATGATTTGATTCAATATATTAATAATATAAATATTGGAGTAAAATACTAATACTGTGGTGAGAAATTGATTCCGATGTTATTATCATTAATTAGCATTTGGTCACATTTAATATTTGGTAATTGTTTTTATTTGTCAACAGATATAAAAGAAAGTTTTAATTGTTGAATAAAATTAAATTGAAGTGAATCAATTGAATAATTAATCTTGAATGAAAACCTTTGGTCAGTTGAGTCCGATTCTTAAACCAACAAATTTGTTGACGTAATGATATTGATGAACATGGTCTCACCAAAGGATTGGTCAATACGGAACTTTCTGAGTTTTTTATGAATGGATATGAAATTTACTGAGCATCGTGAAGATGATGCTGAAGGTAAGAAGATAATCAAGGAGGAGAAAAGAGTTACACAGAGGAAGGTGGAGAAGATAATGAAAAGACCCTCCCAAAAAAGCAATTCCTGTAATGAATGAAACATCCAGGAGCGGGTTAATGATATAGATTGTTAATTGTTACAATTGGAAAACAATATCTTAATCAAGGAGTAACAAACTACTAGGTGGCAGAACACTGCTTTCCAATCTTCTGGACAGTAATCAAATCGCTGACGAAAAAACTTCCCGTTGACCTCAGTGAATTACTAGAAAGATGAATTTACTAATTGCAAATTGGATTCCTAATCGAAGATTATTAATTTTGATTGATCTTATTGATTGCGATGATTGATATTCATGATTCCAGCTGTTTAATGAGTTAATCAATAAATTCATTTGTTTGATTTACTCATGAACACCAACGATTGAAAACAAACGAACAATTAGTTTTTCGAGGGTTCGAAAGCCTTTTGAAAAGTTCTGATTAGTTTAATTATGTTTGTTCAATGAGTAAACTATCGTAAAGTTAATAAACAAATGGTTACACTCGACAATTAAATTCTCAGTAGAAATTCAATCAAAACATGAACTAAACGAAAAAAGTTTAATTCTTCAAATTTTCAAGGTAATCATCATAATCGCCATCAAATTATAATGTTGATAATTTTTCGTTGAAAATTTTCATCGGAAACAATAATCAGTATTTCACCATAGGAATTAATTTGAAAGGAATTACATGTTTATCAATATCATGGTCAATTCTGAAGGTCAGTTTGGATAAAAAGATGACCTCAGTCTCCATAGAAAGATTATTTATTTTTATCAATCGATTAACAATAAAAGTTAATCATTAACAATTTTCTTGATTCTCATTAGATTATTATTGATTTGATAGACATATTCAAATAAGTTTTAATCATTTGTCTCATTGTGATTAAATGGCTTTTAATTGATTGTATCATCGTTATCGAATTCATCATCTTGTTGATCAGAATCACACTTTGTTATTTATTTCAAATTGATTAATGAACAAACAAATTGTTAGTTTTCACACAGGAATAACAATTAAGTTTCAATCAACAATTAAATCATCGCAATTTTCTCAACCATGATAACTCATCTCATTATATTCATGGAATTGATTTGCATATTTAATCGTTTTAACTTGATTAAATTATCACTTTAGTTAATCATGACTACTACTAGTTGAGCTTTCTGCCAATTGTTTCATTTCTGATTTTTAAATTATAATTAAATTGCTCCAGGTTAACCAATTATGCTCAAACAAATTAACCTTTACTTTAATCAACATTTTACTTTATCATTATTAATACAATCAAGTGAGAATAAACTTACCCTTCAATCTGAGTTGATAATCTCCTTTGATTTAAATTTAATCATCTTAATTGTTGTATAACGATTAGGTGATTAGCAATAGTTTCTATTATTTGTTTTTAATAACCAAAGATTTACTTTGATTATTATCAATCAAATCAGCTTTGTATCTGTATTAATTACGATCATTAGATAATACAAACTAAATCAGTAATCATTAAACAAGGAAATGATTAGATAAGTTATAAGATCTGTTAATCTGATCAATTGATCCCAATAGTCTAAGCTAATCATCAACGATGCAAAGCTAATCCTTTACTTAACTAAATCGCGATCAACTATTGATAAAAATAAATATGAAATTGAGATTATCAATGTTAATTAATCAAATATTTATTACTTAATCACTCACTTGATTGTAATAACTTGTTCTTACGCTTCTTTGATTACTATTTAGTAATATTAAGTATTAGGATTGGCTCATATGGACAAAGGTTGAAGACCTGATGTTATCGCTAATGACTGGAACGTTAATTGTGATTACTTTTGTGACTTTTTTAATTGTTCACTTGATTTAATCGATTACAATCTTTGTTTTCAGATAACAGGTAAACATTAAGGCAAAACAGAAAATTAAATGGTCAGTTTAAGACTTTCGAAAGCAATTAAAACTGATTGTTGACAATGATGGACTTGTCTTCTTATTTCTTAAATATAATTGTGATTATCCAATAAATTGATTGTATTGAATGAAAAGTATTAATTTTTATCATTGAATATTATTAAATTTCGGATATTTGTTTCCATCAATATTGTCGATTGGTTTTAATTTTCATCCATTGATTGATCTTAACAAGCTGATTGATTGAAATTGTTAGTTTCTCTTTATTTTTGCTCTTTGGTGATAATTGTTATAATTAACAGTTTGATTGTGGTTAAGACAATTATTCCTCAGGCTTATCGGTTGATTTGTATTGAACATTGGGCAAGATGTCACGAGCACCACCAAATCGAATGCCTTTTTGAGAAGCGAGTTTATTGGTTCCATATTGAAGTGGTACAATTGCTGTGGAAATAAAGAAAAAAATTAGGTAATTACAACCAAATTAAAAAATTCATTAACTTTCTGCAACTTAATTGTCTAAATAGAATATTTTTCAGTTTTCTGAGACTTTAAGAAGATTTCAATTGCATTAATTGATATGAATTCGATTCACTTGTCAGAATTGTTTATTCTGAGTAACTGATTCCGTGAAAATGAACAAAATTTTGAATTATTGATCTTTCAATGGATCCAGTCTTTCGTTTACAAGTCATCATTATTAACATAATTAAATTACAATTACAATCAACAAACGAAATCAACATTGGCTCAAAGCCAAAACCTATTGACCCAAGTTTAAAATAATATTCATCATTATTATTGCTCTGAGAAAACTTCATAGACACTCAAGTATCTGGCAAGAATTTTTCAAAATTTTAAGATCATCATGAATCTATTTAGGAAATTCAAGGAACAAACTTGCTCCATGAATTAAACTCATTATCAACCCTCATGGAAAATTATAAAAAATTTCTCATTCATGGCTAAACTAGACGATTAATTGAATCTGATTTTGATCCAAATTCTGTTTTAATTGATAAAAAATCCACAAGGTTAAATCTCTTCATCATTTTGAACTAAATCGATATTCATTTTATTCGATTGACGTTTATTTTAACGACAAATAGTTTAATCGTTCTAAGAATTTAAAGAATCGTCGAAATTGTAATTCAGCTTTATTGAATATTCTATAGATTTCCAAAGATCTCCAGAAATGTTAAAGCCAGAATCTAAACAGCTCGATGATGGTTCTAATTTTCACTCGATACTTACAATAACTAATGATTAAAAAGTTTCAATATTTTTTTCCATCATCATTACAATTAAAATTAACTTAAATAATTCAACTAGGTAACTAACTAATTCTATGGTCTTGGATTAAATTGTTGGCGGTGAATAAGATTATTTCATGATGATTCAGAACAATTGTGGATAATCAAAGAGAGAAATTGGAAAGCGATGGAAACAATTAAGATAATTTAGTCACAGAAATTTTGAATTGAAGCTCAATTGTCTGAAAAGAGTATAATTAACCATGTAAATTAAATTGAACAAGGAAGAGATTATAGTTAAATTCTGATTGATTGAATTAAATTACTGTGGTTTCTTGTTTTTATTGTACATATTCACTATTAATAATAAATACTCTATTGCAATGTTGATTGTTGGTCATTGATTAACGTTGACCATTATTAATGATGATTAATTTGATACCAGTAAGAAAACAATAATAGCCATTTGATGCCGCAATTGAATTAATTTGATCTGGTTAATGATAAAAAATGAAACTGATTATACCAAAAGACTTAAATTTACTGTACATTTACATTTTCAATGTATTAAAAGGTCATTGTAATTAAGAATAACAATCAATCAAGTAATTAAAAGAAGGTGAAGTTAGGATGTAATCAATGGGATTGAATATTGAAGGAAACAAGTTGATTAACATTATTCAATTAGTAACAATCAATTTATGGGTTGTTACCCTTCCCGATCTTAACGATTGTTAATCAAACAATTAGTCTATTGTGTCCAGTGTCCAGTGTCCACAGCAAGAGTTTGCAATCCCGTTGATGATGATAGATGATCGGTAGTTTGTTAATCAACAATCGTTGAAGAAAAGAAAGTTTAATTGTTTCAATTGGACATTCAACCAATGGAAGTTATTATTTAATCTCGTTGTTAACTGAAATTAAATATCGGTGATAATCACTTTTGATTAACTCTCATGAATGACCCTCATGGGTCAGTTGATTAATTTACTAACCCTCCTTTGTAATAATAATTGTAAACAAACAATCTTATTCATTTATCTGATTATTATTATTGTTGGTGAGATCATCTCAATCATAATCATAATTAAAATCATAATCATGTTTGTTTTTATCAAAAGACAAGGTTGTAATTGATCAATGATAATCACTTTAAACGCAAGAATCATCAATCTCAGTAACATACAAATAGAAATCAAGTTTTACAATGTAAGTGAAACAATTAAAATTAATGATAATCAATGTGACTAATAGATTGGATTATCAACTGGTCTTGTTGATAATTGACAATTTAATCCTGTCTAACAATCAGCTCGTTAATGAAACAATTGACCATGTCGTCAATTGTGAATCGTTTGAGTCTATCGGTTAACAGTTTGCTTCTCTGATTAATTACTAGTGCTAATGAGCAACGAAATTACAATTAATCAACTATTTAGTTTTATAGATATTTATTTTTTTCTCTTGCATCTATGAAGACAATTGATGATCAAATCATATGGTTTAATTTGGTAATCAAATGTTTCTTTGTCAAGGTAAATCCACCTGATTGTTAAATCGTTGATTTGATGATACTAAATGATAAGGTAAATGATGAGCTGTTTATTTGGTTAACCGAAACTGCGCTGACACATTCGAGTTTAGATTCGCCTTGATGAGAGAAAGAGAGACGTCATGAAGATCCATCATAATTCACATTCGCTGCTGTGGATTGGGATTAACTGATTGTGCTGAATTTCACTTATTATTTCAAAGAATATGATCTAATCATTTAAGAGATTAATCAATAGAGATCTTTAGATTTTCTTTTCTTTTCTAAGTCTATTGGTTTATCTTGTTAATCATAATCATTTCATATTTATTTATTTTTATTCTTTTCATCCCTGATCACTCTTCTCATAATTATTTACCCTGGAGGCCTAAATTCACCATGAAATATAATTTCCCTTTTTCTTCAAAAAAAAGAAGTAAATTTTTCATCATACCTCTTTGTGTTCTTCTTTTCTTTGGCTTTCGTGATTATCGCTCATTGAACAATACAAAAATCAGTGGTTACAATTGATTATGGTGATATATTCAATTCTAATTGTGACCATAAGATTTACTTGTATGTTTATCCCATGTGAGGTCATCACTTTGCTATATGATGAGCTTTTTGAATTTAGATAGAAAGTCATCAAGACTGAATCAATTCTCGATTTGATATCTTTTCAGAATTACATGAAGGTCGTGAGAGATAATGAATTGATTTCATTTCGAAAACAATCAAACATTTTAATACATTATGAATCTTCATCGTTTATGTGACAATTTAAGTATCAGAATGAAACATAAGCAAACATATAATGAACAAACTCAGTAAAGTCGATGAGTTAATTCATCTGAATTGAGCATTAAAATTCAATAGAATTGAAGCAATTTAACTAATTAAGATGAGACCTAGAACTTTATGAAAACTTTATTTTGTTGTAATAAAATTAACTATTTTAATGGCTGATTTTCATTGTTATTCTCTTTCTATTAATTTGAATTACGAATATTTTCAAATTTCGTTAAATTTTTCTTTTTTCATGTAATTTAGATTCTCGACTTTGACGTACATTATCTTTTCTTTTGGGGGGATATTCCAACAATTAACCATCGAATCAACAATTAACCTTGAAAAGTGTTCATTTAGTGTTTTGACTTTGGTTTTTTGGAGAATTCAATAAAATATCATCACCCATTCATCCATTTCTTTCTAAACATCTCCAGTTTAGGTTAATCACGTTTTATTACTCGAAACATTAATTCTTTAATCACTAAAACTGATTCAGTAATTATCATCACTGGTTATATTAATATATTTCACAATTAGAAGGTAAACCAAATTATGTGAAATGAGCGAAATTCATCCCTTGAAACAAAATCATGGGGATTTGAGATTCATGATTTGTGAGAATGAATTGAGAGATAATGAAAAGTAAATCTTAATCAAATTAAGTTCTTGAACCAGGAACCTGTTGATAACATTTCTCACCAGTTTGAGTAGTTAATTGTTTTAAACAATCGATTTCATTTCTATTCAACTTTTTGTTCATCGCTCAATAAATTTCATCAAATTATTAACAATAACAAGCAAATTAACAATCAATTTGCCTTATTAAATAATTTTCCAGAAGCTAATCAATCACACAAGCCAACCAACAATTTAAATATTTAATTACACTCTTATTGTAACAATAAAATTGGCTTGTTTTCTAGGTCAAAGTTAATTATAAAATCGCCTTGAATTGAAACAATAACAACAACAGTAAAAAACAATACCCAGAATAATCAATGATCAGTCGTAATTGGAGATATTCATCCATAATGTTAATTGTTAGACTGCCTTACTACCGACAGTTGATTAGTCCAAAGACTTGGAATGATGGTCATAAAGAGACGAAACTCTTGACCATTCTTATTAATTTCAATTATCGTGACTCAATCAACTCACCTTCACTTGCTCTCAACTGTTCATCTGACCATTGCCTCCAGTTTTCTCTGTTCGAAGTGTCCGAAACTTTTGGCATAATATCCCGACTTGCACCGATTCTGTAGCCTTTTTGGGTGGCAAATTTATTTGTTCCATATTGAGCCGGGATAATCGCTATATTTTAAATATTTGGAACAATTAACAACAACTAACGACAACATTTAACTATGATGAGAGTTATTAATACATCATCGTAACTAAGACTGTGGGTATGAAGTTTATTGTGAAATCAATAGGCAAAAGTAATCAGGTTAATTGGTGATGAAAGATTAGCGATGGATTTAAGTGATTATCTCGCATTCAGATTTAAATTTCAAGTATTCTAATAGTTATTAATCACACCGAAAGTCAATCGTTTTAGTTACAATGTTATTCAATCGCTTGGTGAACAATTGGGATTCTCTAAATCACAATTGTAACAACGATTAATCAAGTTAATTCGAATAACAATCAACTCTTCAGGTTAACTGTGAAGGTTTTCATACAGTGTTTCAATGTGTCAATTGAGTGAATATTGAGAAAGTTGAAAGTTAATCTATTAATCTATGTGAATCGAAGCATCTCAATTAGTTGTTAATATGGACTAAGTTAATTCTAATCTTGAGCACTTACATTCGGATGCTCTCAATTGTTGTTCTGACCATTCCTTCATGTTTTCCTTGTTCGTCTTATCGGAAACCTTTGGTGTTATGTCTCGAGCACCACCAATACGAACTCCCTTTTGATTGGCGAATTTGTTAGTTCCATACTGAGCCGGGATGATTGCTAATTGTTGACAATAAGAAAAATACAATCAAATTAAACTTTTTTTCGCATTCGAATCATATCAACATCAGAGTCAATTTTGATCATCATCTTCCTACAATTATCGTCTATGAGTTTCATTTCAAACTACAAAATCTGAACCTTTATGGATGCTCATGATTTCATCCCCAATTATATTGTTATTCCAAATGATTTCCAAACCAATAGACTAGTTTATGAATCTAATAAAATGTTAATCACCAATAACGAAAAGTATCTTGCATATAAATTACGAGTCTATGAAGATTTTCGAATGAATAGCAAGAGGACCAAAATTGAAGTTTCTAAATTTTTGACTTGATTTGCCTCTGTGAATCTGATTAGTTTGCCAAAACTGAAAAGCTCATGCGTTTCAATTATCTATTTATTGCCATAGAAATGAAATAGAAAAACGATCTACCCAAGACTAAATTAGGGTTACGAGGAGTAAACAAAAATCCCATTAGAGTTTTACTATTACCTGGAACCTATTTTGGGAATTACATTTGCGAACATGAAAGCTACAAGTTGATCGTTTTCATCTTCTTTCCATTCAAGTTAAGCGAAAGAAAAAGTTTCTTTCACTTATTTACACACTTTCCTGGTTCTTCGTTTTCCTCATCCTCCTCTTCTCATTTTCGTCATTCTTTTCATTTCTTTTTTCTCCTCATCGACAACATTTTCCTCCCTCACTGTCACGATACAATCTTCTCCTTCATCACCACCTCCTCCTCTCCATCTTCATCATCATCATCATCAACATCACCTTCATCTTCCTACTGTTTTACTATTGTAATGAATAAGAATTCAAGCATCTTTGTTGACTCATCATCTGATTGGCAGCCAATGTTAATCCTTATTGATTTTAATCAATTCAGAAGCAAAACTAATCAACATCATCAATTATTATCTTTGTCAATCAAAAAACAAACAATTTCTGATGAAACAGTAGAAAAGGTTATAACCAGAATCTTAAAAAAGTTCTATTGTTAAAGCAAATCGAACCTGTGAAAAAATAAAACCTTATAATCTTAATATTAGTTAACGGTTTCACTTTACACTTTCGCTCATTCAAACTCTTTAATCAATTCTGTTTGTATTATCGATAAAACTGAAAGCGATTTGGTGTTATCAATATCGAATCCAACATGAAAATCGGAAAATTAGACAATTAAATTAACTGATTACCTTCGCTGGCTCGAAGAACTTGTTCTGGCCAATCTTTGATCTCTCCAGTTGGTTTTGGGCCCAAAGACGCTCCTTCCCATCCAGAATCGTACAACTAGAGACAAGAATCAATCAAAGATCGTTAGTGAGTCGGAATTTATTAGTTGGCTGTTTATTTGTTTCTTTTGCTCTTTTGTCTCAACGAGAAGAACAAACATGGAAGAGACAAAATAAGAAAGAAACGAGAAATGTTCAAGGTGCCAAGAATTAGAAACCTTGTCAAGAGAGAGAGAGAGAGAGAGAGAGAGAACTCAAACTACTGAGAAGGAGAAAAAGATGAAAGATGATGAAGATAATGAAAGAAGATGAAACAAATGCGACTCACTTTCTTTCCAATAGATAACATGGTAAGAACAACCTTGGGGATGTTCTTTGCTTCCCAAAGATCTTCGGGTGCGAATAATTCATCGGCAGGGATACCAAAGGACCGACAGGCATCGAGAAAAGCGTTCAAATTGGCCATATGAGCATCTTTGGTAAAAGGCTTCTGGATCTTCGAGATTGATCCAGGTCTTAAAACGTTCATTGCTCTGATTGATTAGACCGAAGAGAGAATATTTCTTAATTAATAAGAAGACATTTCATGTTGAGATTGGATTAGTTGTTCGACGCATTCACTTACCTGCAGAGTAAAACACCATCTTTGAAAAGTTCTTCGAATGGTTTTGGAGGAATACAGTCCTCGAGAACAGCTTCGATCCAAAGACCGATCTCAGATTCGGCAAACTTGTCCCGTTTACCTTCTCGAATATGCTACAATCAAGCCAATTAGATAACCAGAATCGAGAATAATTAATACATAAATTGGATTGTAAATCATTTCTACAGTTAATTAGTTTCTCTCAAATTTGTTAGTGGGGGAGAAATGTCGCAATTGCGACAATTAAGGTTAAATTGGTTTTCTTTACCTTTTCAGCTCCAAGGAAAGTTATTCCACGAGGTCCGACTCGATTGGCCATTTGGGTTGATTGTTGTCGTTTGTTTTTGATGAATTAACTGGGAAAGTAAAGTTATCACAAGACACAGAGGAGTAAAAATGAAAGAGTTCAGAGAGGATGATTCGTTGTGGAAGCTCGTAAGGCACTAATGCTAAAAATAAGCGATGGATCTGTTTAGATGAGAGAGAGAAAAGGGGGAGAGGACAGAGTGAGAGAGAGAGAAAATGGTGAAAGAGACTCGAGATTAAATGACGAAAACTCTGTAAGCCAAAACTACACCGAGAGTGTTTGGTTATCCGAAGAAAAGATTCTGAGTCTGTACAGAAAAGAGGCAATTCGAATTTAGGTTGAGACTTATTTTTGGCTTCGATTCGAAACTATTTCCTTTCTTCTCTTTCTTTTCATAGACCCACTTATGCTTCCATAAGTCACGAATTGTGGTGGTTCATTTAAAGATTTTCCGTTGATCCAGAATAAAAATATCTCTTCTTGAAATCGTTCAAATCGATTGATACTTTTTCTCGAATATTAGAAAACCTTATTTTCATTTCTCTTCAATTTCACTTCACTTTAATTGTCACCATTTTCTAAATTAAAGTTGATTATCATCAAAATTGTCAAGATTAATCAATTTGATTGGATTTAAGGAGCTGGAGAGAGAGAGAGAGAGAATTAAAATAAATCGAGTAGAAAAATTTAAAAAGTTGAATTGATGATCATTATTTTATTAATAAACTTATCGAATCAAACAAATTGATTGTAGTTTGATTTCGGCTTCAGTTTGATTGTTATATCGATGATTAATCAAAATTAATTAGGTTGACAAATCAATTTACACCAAATTGAAGGTATTTTATTATTATATTTTATAATTATTATTTGCATTATGTCAAATGATTGAGAAATTGTAGTTCCAAGAAGGCTCAACACCATGCATGTTACCATTATTACTCTTCTTCGATCTGCGTCTATCTGGAATGCCACTGGACCCAGCGCCCATGGTAGCGGCAGGATCAGGCCAAGCGTAATCGTCATAACCATAGGCAAACATACCTGGATTTGGATAGTTAGCAGCAGCTTGGCCTTGGGTTTGAAGCATACGTTTCTGTTGCTGGGCAACTGGTTGAGGCTGTCACACAGAGAAAGGGAGTGATACATTTAATTAAGATGGATCAAGATACAGGACCTTTGTAATTCAACATCACTTTTGTGGTAGTCAATAACCCAAATTGGAAGATTAAAGATTGTCCTATTAAAATAGAAACAAAGGATAGTCCAAAGTTGAAACAATCTTTTAATCACATTTTTTATCTATTGAGACGTTAAATCTACATAAAGATGATATATAAATGAAAGTCTCAATTGAAAAAAAAGAATAGTTATTGATAGTATCTATTTACATTTAATCTTTGTTACAAAATGAGTTTAGATTACCAAAGAGGAAATAAGCAAATAAGTTGAATTAAACAAAGAGAACGATCAGGAAATATCAATATAAATGGAAAGCAAAAATAGATAAGGGTAATCAACCATTGATTCTGAAAAGTTTTCAGTAGATATAGTTGTTAGAATATGTTGAAAATTCTTACCTGAGCTTTTTGACATCACACTCCGACCATCGATTGTTTGTTTGGATTCTTTTACAGCGACATCGGCGGCTTCTTCGTTTTCAAAAATGATGAAACAGAATTCTCTTCGCTTACCACGTTGTCTGTCGTAAGGCAATTCAATACCTTCAATTTTACCGAATTTGTTAAAATGACGACGTATTTCAGACTCAGAGGTATTGGCATCAATGCCTCCGACAAAAACTTTTTTACTGATAGGCCGTGATTTAGCCCGCTTAGGGTCAATGAGTTTATTTTTTAAGGTGTGAGGACCAGCTCTTAAAACCTATGGGGGAAAATACAAGATTGATAAGATTTAAAATCAATTACAAAATTTGACAGTGAAACATGTAAGAGAAGAATTAAAAAAAAATGAAAAATTCAATACTAACATTATCAATACAGTCACTTGAAGCAAAAGTGATGAAGCCAAAGCCTCGAGGATGACCTGAAACTGGATCATATTTGATGGTAACATCAAGAATCTGGCCATACTTACTAAAGTAATTGATAATATCCTCTGAACACAAAAGGAAAGAAAGACATGTCAAAGATAAATTAAAATTAGATGACACTGGGCCCAACAGAAGATGGAGGATCAAGCGAACAAGTAAATAACAGATTCAATTACAATACCTTCAGAGGTATCCCAACTCAAGCCTCCAAGAAAGAGTTTACTTTCATTGTGATTATTGTTGAAATTGGGTGGTGGTAAACGTCAACAGCCATGTTTAATCAATTTGCAGATGGAAAATTTTACTTTAAAACAAAGGAGATCAAAGTTGAAGTAGATTAAACTAAAGATTAACACTCTTCGAAAAGTAAACAATTTTATATGACAAATTAATTAATTTTACAATAAACAATAATGAAATTAAATAACCTAAATCGAAGGGGGAATCAAACAAATAGTCTTAAAGCCTTTAAGACTATCTCTATCTCTATAGGCCTTTCCGTGTCCGGAGAATAGAAAACAGACACTTGCGCCACCTGGAGAACCGAAGGAACCGCCAAATTGGAATTGCTTTTCTCAAAGATCGATTTTGGAATTTCATTTGAATCAAAGATTAGCGATTGAAAGATCGATTGAATAGATCCACTGGTGAGTTCTTTTGTTGGATCGCACTACTGATGAATGAACAACGAGGTGGAATAAAGGAAAGAAAAGAGAAAGGAGAAACAAAATGCACATTTCGTCGATCGTTGTGAGTCAATGGATCGGACGATTTTTGGAATTTATGAGACTCCAAGATTCTGAACAGAGATAAGGTTTTGATAATCGATTTGATTGATGAGGTGAGATGGTTTGACTGATACTTTTTGCAAATAATTTCATCGACACCGATTCCTCTAAGATTATGCCAGAAAGCGATTATTCGTTGGATGAAATTGAAGGAACTCGATCCAAAATAAGAATTGATGATTCCCCATACGAAGAAGATTCTCTAAATGATCCAACATGGCCGTTTTTTCTCAAAGTGCTTGCTTGGTATTAGAAAAGGTGAGAAGATGTCGAAAATGATGAAGAGTATGAGTTCTGTCCTTTTCAAAGACTCGTAACAATTTCTCCAAACACTTTTCGATTCTCTTTGTTGTCAATGGGCTTTGGTCGAGGGCTTGAGTGTAACAATCCATTGTTGCCTTTTCCCTCATGTTGATAACCGTCATTACCCTTTGTTGGTGCATTGAGATCAATTGTCGCCTCTCAGCTGATCCTTCTTCCTCCAGGGTTTCAACTGTCTTCTGTCATCGAGATGACATAAACTCAGTCCTTCGGGTCTCTTGATACAATCACCATCAGAGAGGCTCACGTTTTGTCCATGCAACTACTAATAGAAGAGAGATTACGATCAAATATGATTACCTATTAATCGGCCATAGGAATTCAATTAATTACAGATTTCGATTGTTGGTGTTCATTTGGATCATTGATACCAAGAGAATACGTTGATCTGTATCACGGCCTTTCATCTTTTGGACTTTCGTTTTCTTCATTGATTGATTTCTCTTAAATTTTCTCTATGAAATTAATCTTCTTTCATTGAAATCCTGCAAAAGTGATAAATGACACTAGATAGATGAAAGAGAAATAATAATCGGTGTAGCGATTAACCAGAATAGAGATCCACGTGTGGAAAATGATTCACTGTAATCAATTTCCATCGAAGGAAGAACCGGAACAATCAGAATTAGAAAACTATAAATCAATAATACGACAACAGTAACGAGCAAAATGGCCGTTCCTATCGGTCGATCCAAATTCTAGAGAAAAGTAAGATGAGACAAACAATTAAAATCCCTCAGAGAACTTGATTCATCATCTCAACCTACCATTCTAACAATTCATTGTGAACTAATCCACTGAGATCAAAACAAGTGAAATGATCTGCTCATCTGATTAACATGAAATCGGCACAAATAAACAGGAAATTGTTTCCGATAAATTGCGAACATTTAAAAACACTTGACACAAATCATAATTTTATTTGCCTTTACGGTTGACACACAGCTGAACTTCAGCTGCTGAAGTAATAAGTTATTACTCCTCTAGAGGCAAAGAGTAAAACCTACTCTTTGTTTCCCACTATTAATTTGTGAGCCAATATTTTGTTAATTTAATCTTTTCTTAGTAATTACAAGAAATTGTGTTAACTTTCTCAGTTGGAATGGAAATCTGGGTAAGTAGATTGTCAGTTTTGTTTAAAAGAACATGAGACATTTTTCCAAAATACCAGAAAATAGAAAATATTTATTGAAATTTTAAATGATAACAAGATTGACAATGTTGAGCTTTTGCATTGGCTTGATTTTGTAAAAATATATACACAATAAGAATATTTTTTATTGGAAATTTTGATTAACAATGAATAGAAAACTGTAATTAGTTGATTAGATGAGACAATGTCTCAAGTTTCATCAAAAGAATAGTTTTTGACTACCAGGTGATCAATTGGTTCTAATTTTTCTTCATTTTCTCTTTCTTTCTCAACAGATTCAACTTGAGATGAAACTGTTGGTCCCGATGAACACATGGGAACCTTTTCCTTTGGCGGTTGAAGAGGATTCGTTTGAAGCTCGGTGACTACATTGTTGGTGGTGGAAAATGGCTCTGGAGATATTGATTGTGGTTTCCAATTGGTGTATAAATTGGTGAATATCGTATCAACATTTGGCTTTTCCCTGGAAAAAAGTTCATCATAATTGGCGTTAGAAACTGCATTTATCATAGGCTTTGGCTTCGAAGATGATGGTATCAGTGCAGGCAGTGGTAACGGCATTGTCTCCAACAGAGATGCCAAATCGTTGACGTACATCAGGTCACTGAGGTTACGATAGATATGAACCGGATGTTGGTTGGTCAAACCAGGTTTAAGAAGAGCTGTTGTTACTGAGGTCATTTCAGAACCTTCATCTAAACTCTCAGTGCTTCCAGTTTGATTGCTCGTCTCTGCGCTAATTTGATCTGTTATTGAATTTACTTCGAAATTGCTCCTGGTGAGCCTTGGCAACTCTCTGGTGATTCATTTCCGTTCCTGCAGATGAGCTTAAAATAACTGTGAATATGTTGGCGGTGGTGATCCGTTAATAGATTTGGTACAATGAAGACGAGATCCA